GGCAGAGACACAGGTAGAGGGAGAAGCAGGCTCCATGCACCGGGAGCCCGACGTGGGATTCGATCCCGGGTCTCCAGGATCGCGCCCCGGGCCAAAGGCAGGCGCCAAACCGCTGCACCACCCACCTCCTGGGATTTCAATTAAGATTGCAGTGATCAACTTTGAAAGAATCGACATCTTTATAGTATGGAGTCTTAAACCATAAATAAAACATATTCCTCCAACTATTTAGGTCTTCCTAATTCCAAACATATATATATGGAATTACATATATATATTATATATATAAGGTCAAATATATATATATTTTATATATAAGGTCAAATATATATATATATATATATATTTGACCTTTTTCTACATGGAGGCTTACCTATCTTTCATTTTTACTAGGAATGTGATAGTTTTTGGTGATCTCTCAAATGATACATTTTAAAAAGATCTTCATTTTCTAACTGTATGTTGCTAGTTTATAAACAATATTTGATTTTTTAATTTTTTTAAAAATTTATTTATGATAGTCACAGAGAGAGAGAGAGGCAGAGACATAGGCAGATGGAGAAGCAGGCTCCATGCACCGGGAGCCCGACGTGGGATTCGATCCGGGTCTCCAGGATCGCGCCCTGGGCCAAAGGCAAGCGCCAAACCGCTGCGCCACCCAGGGATCCCAATATTTGATTTTTTAAAAAAAATTATTTTATTTATTCACGAGAGACACACAGAGAGAGGCAGAGGGAGAAGCAGGCTCCATGCAGGGAGCCTGACGTGGGACTCAGTTCCGGGTCTCCGGGATCATGCTCTGGGCTGACGGCGGCGCTAAATCGCTGAGCCACTTGGGCTGCCCTATATTTGATATTTTTAAGAGTGACCTTGCATTCAGTAATTTTACCAAACTCACTTTTAAATTCTTATAATGTACATGTCAATTCCTCTGTGAATGATAATTTTATTTCATTTTGGGTCTTGAAACTTAATTAAGTAAGTAAGTATTCAATTGCCTTATTACATTTGCTGAATTCTTCTTTTCCCCCTATTCTTTCCCTCCAGGCTTGGTTCAATTTCGAATGGGAGCAGGGATAGTGGTCATACTTGTTTCATTTTTTATCACAAAGACAAAACTGCTTTTCCATCTCTATTTCTCCATTCCTTTCTATCTATAAACTCTACTGAGGGACATGTAAGATGAACATATTTCTGGCTCAGTATGTGAAGACAGCAATTTCTCCCACATGGATGTATCAATTGTTCCCAATCTGAATTCCCAGGAGAATTTTCATAGACCTTGGCACACTGGTGGAAAAGTTCATCTAAAAGGGAGTATGTGCAAGAATTGCCAAGGAATGTTTAGAAAGCAAAAACAATGAGGGAGCTTGGACTGAATATGAGGACATATGGTCTTGGTCAACATCCCTAGACATGGTGCTGCAGACGGGGATTCTTGTGGGAATTTTTTTTGGGTAGGGAGGGCAGGAGAGGGTTTCCTTGAGAGAAGCAGGACAGGGAAGGGAAACCTGTTCATCATTCATGAGGTCTCAGCTAGAGATTGGATTCACTGTGATCCTATGGCTGAAGCTCTGGAGGACAAGTTACACCACAAAATGAGTCCTATTTTGATGCAATGGAGCTATCCTGCCCTTTGATATCCTTATGCCAGTGGGTTATAGCTGAAGTGTGTCCAGGCTGGGGGTGGTGTGCTGCTGGCTCTCATTTGAATTGTCAACCAAAACAGCACCTGGGTGCCAGGAGCACTGGCTGGCAAAGGGAATCTGGTTGGGACCCAGTAGCAACCATTACATTATAGGCTTGGAGAAGAAAAGGGTCACATGCAGTGTCAGTCACAGATGTGCAAAGGTTGTGCCAAAACTTGGGATGGTGGGGAGTCCACAAGTACTCTGGTTCAGGACTTAATCATTTTCATGTCCTCACTCAGAAGCAGTGGAACCACTTTTACGTTTTTTTTTTTTTTTTTAGATTTTGTTTATTTATTCATGAGAGAGAGAGAGAGAGAGAGAGGCAGAGACACAGGCAGAGCGAGAAGCAGGCTCCATGCAGGGAGCCCGATGCGGGACTCGATCCCGGGACTCCAGGATCACGCCCTGGGCCAAAGGCAGATGCTGAACCACTGAGCCACCCAGGAATCCCCCACTTTTACAGTTTCTAATTGTCAATGTATTTTCTATCTTTGGGACAGTTTTGATACTGGGAGGAAGGGCTGATGAGATAGAAAGTTAGGGAAGGGCTCAATGATTGACAGCTGTGATGATGTTGAAAATTAGGTTTAAGAACAAGGATGAGAATTTGTAACTGGAAGGGGGAATTTCGGAGTTTGGTGATTTCCAGCAGGAGCTGTTCTTGGCAGTGATGACACTCACAGTGGGGCCATGTATGTGGATCATAGAGGAGAAGGAAGGGGAGGGTCAGGAAACTGAGAGATGTTCCAGCATGGACTGGGAAAATATATAGAGGGATGATAGGGTTAGAGCAGACAGGAAGACCTTGAATGTGTGACATGGTGGATGGAGGGAGATATGGTTGGGGTGGGCAAAAAGGGGGTAAATCTCTAAAGGGATCACAAGGTGATTGAAGGAAGAAGAGCTTTTGAAGGAGCAAGAGTAGGAGACTAGGCATAGGGACCTTACTTCCTGATTCCAAGATATGAGTGGGTGTCCCAGGGAAGACTGTGTGGTGTGTGGACCTCAGGGGAAAGCCAGAATTCCCTGTAAAGGGCCTGGTAGAGGAAATGCCTTAGGAAAAAGTAGAGGGCTTGTGGATATAGCTGAGCTACACACCAGAGGGTCTGGGTCACAGAGAAAGCAATCAGAAGACATATACTGATAGGGATGTTCAAACATAGAACATTATTGCCAACTCAAAGATTTCATATCATTTTAAGAAAATAGCATCATTTCAATGGCATCCAGGGTTAACTCCATAACAAAGTGCTGATTCTTTCCAAACCTTACTCAATTGGTGTATCTTCCAGTGACAATGAGAAAGAAGAATTAATTAAGTACTGTTTTGAGTTTGCTTAAAGACCTGTAATCACAATATTAAAAAAAAAACAGAAGCAAATTGAGATTGTTGAGATTGGCACAGACATTACCCATGCCCTTAGAAGGTGCATCACTGAATTGCTTCCTTCAGTAGTCATGCAGGTGAGAGGGAAGAGCTCAAGTGTCCTTCTGGGATTTGTTTCTTGGCAACAATGACAAATCTTCACACCCTTTATCCAAGACTAAAGCTGAGAATAATCCAAACATTGTTTCTTTAAAAAAATTTTTAAATTTCAATTCAATTTAATTAACATATAGTATATTATTAGTTTCAGAGTAGAGCTGAGTGATTCATCAATTGTGTACAATACCCAGTGTTCGTGACATCACGTGCTCTTCTTAATCTCCATCACCCAGATACCCCATCCCCCTACCCCCTCCCATCTAGCAACCTTCAATTTATTCTCTATAGTTAAGTTTCTTATGCTTTGCCTTCCTCTGTGTTTTCCTCTTATTTTAGTTTTCCTTCCCTTTTCCGAAATTCATCTGTTTTGTTTCTTAAATTCCACATGAGTTAAATCACATGGTATTTGTCTTTCTCTGATTGACTTATTTTGCTTAGCATAACACCCTCTAGAGCCATCCACACTGTTGCAAATGGCAAGATTTCCTTCTTTTTGATAGCTCGGTAATATTCCAAATTCCATTTCATTTGATAATATTCCATTGATAGCTGAGTAATATTCCATACATATATATATGTTTATATATATCATCTTCTTTATCCATTCATCTGTCAATGGACATCTGGGCTCTTTCCATATTTTTGCAATTGTGGATGTTACCGCTATAAACACTGGGATGCAGGTGCCCCTTCAAATCACTATGTTTGTATCCTTTGGATAAATACCTAGTAGCAAGCAGTGTTTCTTTAGTGGACTAGTAGAGACAGTAGGGATGTTTCAAGATTAACAGGAAAAACTGGAATTTGAAGGTGTAATTTTTTATTGAGTTTTTTAAATTTCAGAAATAGTGTTGTTTTCCTGAAATCAGTGAGCTTGTTGGATGTTTATGAATTATTGGTCCTTAGCCCAGTGTTTGGCACAGAGTAGACTCTCAAGAAATGTTTACTGAGTCAACTAAAATGAGAGCTTTCATAATTCATGGAAAGAATGCTTAAGAACAAGAGTGGTGTGTGTGTGTGTGTGTGTGTGTGTGTGTGTGTTTAGCTGCCTGCCCAAATTTTTCTTACTAATTTTTCTGGTTCTTTTCTAGCAAAATAGTTCTCTTTCATTTTCTTCTTTGCATTTGGCATCTCAAAATAATGCAACTCCTAACTGCTAAGTTAACTTTATTTCAGAGACTGGGTTTGTCAGGACACAGCCTTGTACATCCACGGTAAGTATGCTTTAATTCAGCTTTTTGTCAGGCTATAAACTAGTGGTTTCCAACCTTGTCAGCACATCATAATCACCTGGGGTGATAACAATTCTGATGTCTGCTTCTTTACTGATTTAGTTGTCTGTGGTAAGGCTTGGGCAATGTTTTTGTTATTTTTTGTTTCCCAGGAGACCTGAGTGTGTATCCAAGGTGGAGAACCAGTGCTCCAAACAATTCTTTTCAGAGGATCCCCGAGATCACTGGGGATGAAGGCCCTTTTACAATCTTTCCACCTGGGTCATAATTCATTCGACTTGGCCATTTTGGTCCTGGGTTGAGCTCCTGCTTTTAGTTTTATTTAGCTGTCTGGTTGATTTTTATATCTTTATGCTTGAGCCTCCAAGATCCTTTATAATGGATTTTGGAGAAGTTAAAATTTAAACTCTATTTCTCTATGTCATAAGGCACAGCCTTTTTGAGTACACAAAACCATTGCTGACAGCAAATGCATAAATTCATGACCATGAGTGGAAGAAACAGAAAAGCCAATCCTCAGTTTTGTCATAAACCTTGCATGCTAATTTTTATTAGGGAATTCGTCATTGAGAAACCAAAGGTTGTTTCACTGGAACTGCAACGATAATGACTAGGGAGAGGCAGAGAGAATGCTATAAATTCAAGATCTCAACAACTCATGTTACACATGCTTCTTTTGGTTCCTCGCTCAAGCCGCCTCTGCTTCTTCAAAAACCAGGTAAGTTCTTTCTTCAGTTTCATCTGAAGACTTCTGTGTCTTAAGAACACTGATGTTTGTTGATTTGAAGAAGTACTTTTATTGTGCAATTTTCCTTGGGCTGGTTTTATTTACTGTAGAGCCTGCACAGCCATGACAATATATCATCATAGTGTTTGACAGTAAGTTAATTTTATTTCTGAGTTAACTTGCAAGGAATCCCTGCAAAGAAATTTGGGGTTGAAATGGAAGTTTTAACATCAAATGTGGAATGCCTTAGCAGGGATGGGCACTTGCTCATCAAAGTAACCCCTTCAAAGTATTTAGGCTTTTAAAACATTTTATTCTGCGTTAGTCTCATTCTTGTTTTAGGATTTTTCTTCAAGCCTTTATTAATCAGTTATAACACAGCTGGTGGGGAAGAAAATAGGTGTTTTATTTATTTTTGTAAATATTAACTGCTCTTTAAAATTATTTTTGTGTGTGTGAGATAACAAAAGTCGTATGAACTCATGGCACAAGCCTGAAACAATATAGAAAAGTATAGAAAAGAAAACACTCTCTCTTTGCTCTTTAGGGAAAATTCAGCCCAGAGTCAAATTTTTATGCCGTTAGGGATTGGGGTAAGAGAATAAATGCATTCTGCCACGCTCTGCATTCGATTTAGAATCATCTGAGAAATAGAAAGTATCACAGAAGGAGCCACTGTTGGCTTCATTATTTTAAGGCTGGATTGGAGAACATTGCTTGGACCTGAGGCCAGTGGGGATTCCTAGGCCTTTCCCTGGCCTGGTCAAGGGCCAGCAGCTGGACAGTTAGATAGGAGCAGGCCAGGGCTGGGTCTGCCAGGGGGAGATTAACACTGTAGGAGGCAGCGGGCAGGCAGGTGCAGGCAGGCTCTGGCAGAGAACAAGAGAGAAGAAAACCATTTAGGCGTCAACCCTGCTGCCTGGAGAAATGAGAACAGAAACACCAGCTGATGCCAGATTGATTCATGTCTCCTGTCCAGAGAAGGCCAAGAAAAGGCAGAGAAGCAGATAACAGTGACTTTTCCCTGGGAGGATGAAAATCTCTATTTTCTGAATCAATGCAGGGAGAGGAAGAGAAGCAGGAAGGGTTCCTGTGACATAATGCAATTCAAATAAGTGTAATGTTTTTATTTGGTTTTGGTTGTCGTTGTTCTAGATCTTGCCGGAATCTTCATGGATTCACTTGGTGCAGCATACACTCACTTTGGGTTTAATCTCTTCCAAAAACTGAATAAAATAAATGATGGCAACATCTTCTTTTCCCCTGTGGGCATTTCTGCTGCCATTGGCATGCTCATCCCAGGGGCCCGAGAAGCCACCGCCATGCAGTTGCAGAGGGTAAGGAGGTTCCCATTGCGGTCCAGCATGTCTCTGGGGGTAGCCCTCTAGCATTACCTTGAAATGGGGCCTGGCAACAGAGAATGAATGCATAGGAAGACACAGAACAATTTCAGATCTATTAGGGCAGTCCTCCTCCTTCTCCAAGTACTGTCATGCTATCTGCTCCCTAGTGCTTGAAATTCCTTTGAGTGGGGGCTGAGTGAGTGGCCTTCTCCAAAGTCATTAACCTCATAATTAAAGATGGAGTGTGAAGAACAAAGCCTACTGGAAGAAGTTGCAAAATCCCCACTAGGCTATAAATGAGACATCAAAGGTCAATACATGAATGGATAAACCACTGTAGGTGAGATCAATGGGCAGTCAAGACCTCTGCAGATTTTGAAAGGACAGAGAAATGTTACCTGTTTACCACTAAGGTTTCTTTAACAAACATTTTGCTGTCTTCAGACTGATTCTGTGTGAGGGTTTCTCTATTCTGATCATAAACAATATTTTCTGTCCCTTCCAGATGCTTTTCTCTGAAAAAGACACAGGGAGCTCAAGGAACAAAACCGAAGAAAGAGAGGTGAGGAGACATGTGTTGCTACCTTCAGGATTTGGCTGCTTTGTGATGTGGGCTCCCTGGGAAAATGTGTAACAGAGCTAATAGTTCACACTTATTTTTAAGGAATTACAATCACTGCATCCAAGTAGAGTTGCTAGTATTATACAATAATAAACCCTTAATATTAAGAGGAGACTAACTTTTAAAAAAGAATATTTATTTATTTACCTGAAAGAGAGGGAGAGAGAGCATGTGCGGTGGTGAGGAGAGGGAAGCAGATGGAAAGGGAGAGAAAGAGCCCCCCATGGGGGCTCATTCTCCGGAACCTGAGATCAGACGTGAGCTGAAACCAAGGATCAGACACTTAACTGACTGAGCCTCCCACGTGCCCTGAGACTTTAAAGCACATTGACCACTCTGATGTAAATGCCCATAGATTAAATGTAAATGCCACTTTGGGGCGGAGTGAATGGATTTAGGAGTTGAACAGATTTGAGTTCAAATCCTGACTCAGTCACTTCACAGCCATGCTACTTTGGGCAAGTTATTTTCTTTGAGCCTCTATGAAGTGGTCAGTGGAGTATCTGGAACACACTGGCGACTCACCCAGCAATAATGGCGGTGGTAGGAGGCAATACTGTTACTACATTCCATTTTTATTTTAAGCCCCCTTGCTGATATTTTATTTCAAAAATATATTAGCATAGGACCAATGACTTCTTAGGGTCTCTTCCAACTCTAGGGTTGTAGTATTCCTTGCCTAAAGGACGATCTGCTCAAACATGGGGAAGTCTGTAGGTCAGGGCTGGCATCTGGAGATGGTTAGAGACCTAAGGAGGAGCACATCTGCCTGACAGTAGTTGCAGCTCAGTCCCAGACGCTCATAAAATCATGGCTCCAATCTCCCAGCAATATGAGCTGTTCATTTCACAATCCCACATGGCCAGGTTGTCTGGCTGGCTCAATGGCAAGTGGAGAGTCAGGCTTCTTTACAAAGTTTGTGCAACAGAACTGGGTCAGACAGCTGCTCCACTGTCCACTCAATCAAGGAACACGGTTATTCTCAGAGCACTCTCTCTCCCAAGGATGTAGCCCATACAGAATCTGTATGGGAATTAGAAAAAAGAACCCCCTCTTGGACAGATGCCCACTCCTGGCTTGGTGATGGGGATGAGGGTTGAATTTCAACTTTGTACAGGGCACAACTTGTACAGCTCTGCATAGAAATTATGTCCCTTTCTCAGGACTTTTCTGGGAGCCACAAAAGTACAAAGACTAGAATCACTGACTGAAAGGATATGAGGATTGGGGCCTTCTTGGAGGGTCATCTACTCTAATCTCCTTTTTCAATAGATGAGAAAACAGATGAGTAGAGTAAGCTGCTCAAAAATATGATAGATGTACATTTGATTATCACATGAATTCAGAGTATTCTGAACCTTGCTTTTAAAAATTGAAGTTAGGAGTGTCTGGTGGCTCAGTTAGTTAAGCATCTGCCTTTGGCTCAGGTCATGATCTCGGGGTCCTGGGATCCAGCCCCGCATCAGGCTCCCTGCTCAGTGGCGAGCCTGCTACTCCTCCTGCCTCTGCCCTTCTAGGGCACTCCTGCCCACTCATGCCCTCTCTCTCTCAAATAAATAAAATCTTTAAAAATTTTTTGAAGATAAAAATGTTAAGATATTGTGTACAAAAAGTAGTAGGAATTCTTATACAATTCTGCAATTCTGAATACCCTTTAATTCTCCCCTTCAGTATAAGTTATAAACTATTGACAGATTAGCGGATGCCTCCAAGTACTTTCCTTGAACACATCCCCATCCTCTCCTGAAAGAAGTTCCATTGTCCTGAACTTGGTGTTTGTTATTTCCATTTAGGAATGATTTCATTGCACATATTTTTTAAAAATTATCCTTTGCAACCTGATTATTTTTGGCTCAGGAATGTATTTACAAGATTCATCTATTTGAGGTGGATACTTGTAGATCTCCTTGATTCATTTTCATGACTGTTGGTCCATTTGCCCTGTTGAGTGATTTTTTTTCATCCTTCCTTCCTATTACAAACAAATGACTCTTCCTCTTTTCTTTGATTATTTACTTATTTGACAGAGAGAGTCTGAACAGGAAGAGAGGCAGATGGAGAAGGAGAAGTAGACTCCCTGTTGAGAAAGGAGCCTGATGTGGGGCTCAATCCCAGGATCCTGGGATCATGACCTGAGCCAAAGCTGATGCTTAACTGACGGAGCCACCCAGCCGCCCCACAAATGACCCTTTTTATACAAGTCTTGTAGTTTACCTGAATGAGAGTATCTCCGCCCAGAGCTTCTAAATATGGCAGCCATTGAATTGGCTATAGAGTACTTGAAATACATCTAGCTCAAACTGAGAAGTGCTCTAAGTGTCAAATATAAATCAGATTTATGAGAAAATAGTGTTGAAGGAAAGCTGTTTTACTACTCACAGCACTTCCAACAACAAATGTGTGGATTCTTTCCCTCACATTAAACAATTTTGAGATTAACTGCCAGGAGTCAGAGCAGACCCCACACATTAAGGGCTCCATTCTACAAGACTTGCCCTACTTCAGGTTGCAAGGAAGTGGGTTCCCAGAACACCCACACTTCTGTCCAACTTGGCTACAAATCAGAGGATCACATTGCCCACTACTCAAGTTTCATAATTTGCTATAATGGCCCACAGAACTCAGGGAAACACTAGTTTAATATAAAGGATACCAATGAATAGCTAGATGAAGAGGTATATAGAGTGAGGTCTCAAACTGTCCCAAGAACAAGAGCTTCTGTCCCTGTGGAGTTTGGGGTACATCACCCCCTACCAGCGCATGGATGTGTTTCCCAACCCAGAAGCTCTTTAAACCCTGTAGTGTAGGGATTTATGTGAAAGCTTTATCATAAAGGCATGATCAATTAGGAGCTCTATCTCTAGCCCCTCTTTCTCTGGAGGATGGGAGATGGGGCTGGAAATTCCTAAGCTTCTAATTACAGTTTGGTCTTTTCTGGTGACCAGCCCTCACCTCGAAGCTATTCAGGATCCCACTAAGAGTTGTATCATTAGAACAAAAGATGCTCCTATACCAGGAAATTCCAAGGGATTTAGGAGTTCTGTGTCAGGAAATGGGATCAGAGAACAAATATTAAAACAAAAAATGTTCCTGGTACCCCTATCACTCAGCAAATTACAAGGTTAGGATCCAGAGAAAGAGACCAAATATACATTTTTAAAAAATGTCACAGATGTAAAATATCTCATTTTTATGTGTCATTTTAATTGAAATGATATTTAATAATTATGTATTAATATATAATTATTATGTTTTTGTTGAAATGATGTTCTAGATAGATTTGGTTTGATAAAGTATAATATTAAATTTGATTTAATCTGTTCCTCTTTATTTTTAAGAATGTAATTGTTTTTTAGATTTAATTTATTTATTTGAAAGAGAGAGAATGAGCAGGGGAGGGACAGAGGGAGAAGCAGATGCCTCACTGAGCAGGAAACCTGATGCAGGGCTCAATTCCAGGACCCTGGGGTCATGACCTGAGCAGAAGGCAGACACTTAACTGTCTGAGCCACCCAGGTGCCCCAAGAATGTAATTACTAGAAAACTTAAAGTTATATATGTGGCTCACATTTTGCGGCTTGCATTATATTTCTATGGGACAGTACTGGCCTACAGTATATATCTAGGAGGTAGGGCTTATGTATTTTGACTTTATTAAATATTAACAAATTGTTTGCCAAAGGGATTACACCAATATCTATTCCACTTAGCAGCGTACATTGGCCCATTTCACACAGTCGTACAGAGACAGTGGGACCTGAAACCCCACTGGCCTTGAAATTCCTAGTCATTGACATTCATGTACAGTTGACCCTTGAAAAACATGGGGTTGAATGGCACAGGTCCTCTTAGATGAGGATTTTTGTTTTGTTTTGTTTTGTTTTTAAAGATTTTGTTTATTCATGAGAGACACAGAGACAGAGGCAGAGACACAGGCAGAGGGAGAAGCAGGCTCCTCACAGGGAGCCCGATGTGGGACTTGATCCCCAGATCAGGGATCATGCCCTGAGCCAAAGGCAGATGCTCAACCATTGAGCCACCCAGGCGTCTCAGGATTTTTTTTTTTTTTGGACAGATATAACACAATACTGTAAATGTATTTTCTCTTCCTCGTGATTTCCTTTTTTCTTTCTTTTTTCTTTTTTAAAGATTTTATTTATTTATTCATGAGAGACACGGAGAGAGAGGCAGAGACACAGGCAGAGGGAGAAGCAGGCTCGTTGCAGGGAGCCCGATGTGGAACTCGATCCCGGGACTCCAGGATCACGTCCTGAGCGGAAGGCAGACACTCAACCGCTGAGCCACCCAGGCATCCCTCATGATTTTCTTAATAATATTTTCTTTTCTTGAGCTTTCTTTATTGTAAGAATATACCATATAATATATATAACATATATTGTGTTTTGATTTTGCAGATTGACAAGACAGAAGAGATACATCACCAATTTCAAGAGTTTTTGAATGAGATAGGCAAACCCACTAATGATTATGAACTAAAAATAGCCAATAGGCTCTTTGGAGAAAAGACATACCTCTTCCTTCAAGTAAGTTTTGCTGTGTTCACCACATCTGTGAGTAGTATTGGTGAATGGCCAATGGCCCTTTTAGGACTGTATGCCCCAGAGGCTGCCCCAGCTGACTGCCTGGCTCAGCCCACATCCCTGGGTGTGTCCTCTTGCCTGTTCTCCAGACATCCAGGCCCTTTGGGAGTTTTTAATTCTGGCAGTCTAAATGAGTTTTACCTCAATCCTGTTGCACGTGCAAAAAATATGCATGGAAGTACTCAAAGTGATTTGCCCAGGTTCTAAAGTTTCCTGCTAACAATGTCGGTCATCTTAATGTAGAGATTACATTTATTTAGAGATATTGGAAATGGATAAATTGAATTTTCAACCTCTTTCTATTCCTTCCCTATTCTTCCTAAAGAAATACTTAGATTATGTGGAAAAATATTACGATGCTTCTCTGGAACCTGTTGATTTTGTAAATGCAGCAGATGAAAGTCGAAAGAAGATTAATTCCTGGGTTGAAAGTCAAACAAATGGTAGAGTATGGATCAGTCATTTATCATAACACACTTCTTGAGTACCTGCTATGAGAGAAGACCTGAGCTTGATACCGCATGGGATACCAGAGTGCACAAACTTTTTTGGGGGGTGCAGACTTGAGATAAGTTGTTCAGGGTTAGAAGGGCGGGACACGGCATGAAGAGTAGGAAAAGACACTACAGATGGTGGAGTGGTCTCAGGAAATGGGAGAGCCAAGGGGCACCAGGGAGGCACCACAGGTAGCCATCTTCATGGAACACATAGTGGAGAATGATTTGCACGTGGCTGTGGATCACAATATCTCTGGGGCTCCTGAAATTGGACTCATGTCTGTGTTGGATTCACATCTTTTCCTTTATATCAGAGCTTTCCTTTCTGAGTCTGGGTCCCTAAGTGGAAATGTCACAGAGTGTTTTCTTTCTCTTTGTCAAATGAGAAACATTCAGCCTCCTTCCATCAAGACCTGCCTTTACTACCTACAGCCAGGGCTGCCCAGGCTTCATCTCTACCTGAGCGTCATGCAGGGGTGATAACACCTTTCATCCCCATCCACAGCAGAGAACTTGACAGAGCCCTCACTTCATTCCCCCTCCTTATTTCCTACTATGAGCCAAGCGCACAGGAAATACTGGAGAGTGCTATTAATATGGAAATATACTTTGGGGAATAATCATTGATACTTTAGTGTTAGAGTTTCAGAATACATTTAAAAAAATTCCAGTTATCATGAAGACATTATTATTTCACAATGCATTTTTGTCTTCATATGTAGTCCAAAAAATGAAACAAAATTTGAAAAAGCAACAAAAAAGAGGGCCTATCAAAGGGTTGATTGAAGGATTGTCAGTGTGGAATGGGCTAAACCCAGAGACAAAAGCATTAACTCCTTTTCCAATAATATAAGAAATCTTTAAGTTTTGGGTGGTAACTCTATCAAATGGGTAAAAATAATAACAGCTAACACCTACTGAATGCTTCTCATGAGCCAGATGATGTTGTAAGTGCTTTACACATATTAAGTCATCTACTCCTTGCTTGCAAGAACTCTATGAGGCAGGTTTTATTCCTGTTTTACAGATTTGGAAACTGAGGCACAGCGAGCTTAAATAACTTGCCTGAGATTCCTCAACCTATAAGAGGCAAAACTGGATGCTAACAGAGGCAATCTGATCCAGAGCTCGAACTCTTAACCATCACACCTCAATTTATCCAGTGGGATAAATAGGCGATGGGCAAAGTGAGAACCTCCCTACGATTCTGGCAGCAAACATTTTGTCGGCAAGGCCTTCAGGTGCTGACCTGGCTGAGTTTTTAATGATGAGTCAAGTCCGTCTGCATCATATTTGCCATGTATAGCACTTGTGATTTTTGAGGATGGGCCAATATTTTTGTTATTGTTTGTTTGCAGAAAAAATCAAGGACCTGTTTCCAGATGATTCTCTAAACAGCCTCACCAAGCTGGTGCTGGTGAACATAGTTTATTTTAAAGGGCAGTGGGACAGGGAGTTTAAGAAAGAAAACACCAAGGAGGAGGAATTTTGGCTGAATAAGGTATGGTCCTTAATTTATTTATGCAATGTGTTTACACCTGGAATGTAAAATCTAATGTCATATTTGAGCAAGTGTACATGGTGAATAGTAAGGGGGACCCTGAGGCTCTGATCTTTAGCATTGTTTTATGTTGAGCTAATTATTTTGGTGAGCTAACTCTGTTGTCTTATGCTTCTTTTGACATTGTGTGGTCTGTTACTTTGTTGCAGAGTACAAGCAAATCTGTGCCAATGATGACACAGTGCCATTCCTTTAGCTTCACCTTCCTGGAGGACTTGCAAGCCAAAATCCTGGGGATTCCATATAAAAACAATGATCTAAGCATGTTTGTGCTGCTGCCCAATGACATAGATGGTCTGGAGAAGGTAAAACCTTTCGTCTCCCCAATCTTGCTTTTATTTCCCGAGGCTTGGCATCCCAAATCTTGTTTCTGGGTTAGCCTGGAAACAGGGCTTCTGATAGGGATCTGGTGTCTGGCAGTGCCAAGCAGAAGATATTTCTCATTTTGTGCAGCAGCTATAAATGGATGTCTAAAAAGGAGCATAAGAGGGTATCAGGTTTATTGAAAACAATCCATACTAAAATATTTGGGGATGACCTAAAATGAATATTTAAGGTCAAATGGGAGTCCTAAAGATCAGTAACCATTCTGAGAAATGGTTACTCTCTATATACCTTTTCCCCAGAAAGTTGCATTTGCACATACAGCAAATTTTGCATCCTGTTCAGCAGTCTATTAGAGCTCCTGAATTTCTTTCTTGGACCTTTAATTTCTTTTTAAGTTTTTTTTATTTTTTTCATTTTGGAGCAGTTTTAGGCTTACAGAAGAACTGAGAGAAAGGTACAGGGATTTCCCATGTATCCCCTGCCCCTACACATACATATCTCCCTTCATAATCAATATTACTTACCAGAATGGTAATTTTTTCTAACCAGGAATGAACCCAAGCTGACACATAATAATCACTTAAGACCTTTGATCTTGAAGCTCTTGATTAATTCCTTTGACTTAAAACTAGAATAAGATACCACCTAGAATGGGTCCAGTACATGGAAAACACTCAATAAATAATAGATAGTATATTATTATAATACTAGATGCTATTCTGTTGCTGTAAAACATCTCTAGCAGCATTATACATTGGAAAAATTGGGGACAGCAAAATGACAGTAGGTATGAAAGCTTCAAGAGTATTCATACTCTGATCCCCAAATCCCAGTTGTGGGGATTGCCTTAGGGAAATAATTCAACAGAAAAAATATTGCCTTTCTTTATTCATGAGAGACACACACACAGAGAGAGAGGCAGAGACATAGGCAGAGGGAGAAGCAGGATCCCAGTGGGGAGCCGGATGTGGGACTCCATCCCAGGACCCTGGGATCACAACCTGAGCAGACGCTCAACCGCTGAGCCACCGAGGTGTCCCAAAAATTGCCTTTCTGAACGAAATCAGGAATTTCTGCATTAAATGTACTAGGATACCTAGTTTAAAATTCATCATCATCATCATCATCATCATCATCATCACTGTTATTCTGTGATCCACAGTATCTATCAGCATCTATCATGCTGGATACATACCAGATGACTGTAAAATGAACAGATGAGTATTTGGCAAAACTTATCAGCTCAATGGAAACATTATCTATTAGTTTGAAGATATTTGGGAGAGATACAGATCTGTGAAAAAGTTTACATTAGAACAAATAATATGGACATTCAGGGTGATTACACCTATGTAAATATATATATTATATAATATAAAGTATATTAATAATAACATTTTAATTATATATAATTCATATAAGTATACAACTTAATATATATAAATTATATATCATATATTCATAAAAGACTATAGAGGAAGAGTTAAAAATGACATGATATGTATTAGATTGGTAGAATAAGAATTTATTTCTCATCTTTAAAAATTCACTTAACACTATTGACTTTTCATGTATACACAGATAATTTAAATAAAGAAGTATAAGTCACCTGCCTGCTATTTAAAGACAAGGGTCTAGTGAAATAAAATGGCTATATTTATTAAAATTAATTATTTCTAACTGATACAAATCAGTGTCACGGTGTTTCCACTTTGTATTGGGATAATCATACCACCTTCCCCTCCTTTTTAATTTTTCTTAATAGATTCTAGATCAAATAACTCCAGAAAAATTAGTAGAGTGGACGAACCCAGGGTACATGGAAGAAAGGAACGTGACCTTGCACCTGCCCCGGTTTGAAGTGGAGGACGGTTACAATCTGGAGGCCGTGTTGGCAGCCATGGGGCTGGGGGATGCCTTCAGTGTGTGTGGAGCTGACTCTCCCGGGGTGCTCTCACACTCCAGGCTGCACGCACAGAAGTTTCTACATAGGTCCTTTGTGGTGGTAACCGAGGAAGGCACAGAGTCTACAGCAGCCACCAGTGTGGGCTTTGCCCTCAGCTCTGCGCTGAGCTGTGAACACTTTCATTGCAATCACCCTTTCCTGTTCTTCATTAGGCACCATGAGTCCAACAGCATCCTCTTCTTTGGTAGATTTTCTTCTCCTTAGGACTCTCTTTGCTTTGGCAGAAAACCAGCGTTGGAGTTTTGTTTAGACTATGGAAATAGCCCAATCTTAAAAATATTGTTTTACTCGCTTGTATTCTAATCTCACCATCAAAATCAGTGATTTAATGACTGTAATAGGGTGTGTGTGTGTTTGTAATTCTCTTTGAGAGTGAAATGTCCTTTAGTTTGTGCCATGTATAAAGTGAGTTAAATCGAGGCTCATTAGTAATCTCCTGTTGATTTCTTCTGAAAGTAAGTCAACTTCTCATAGCTTTGTGCACTAATTCGTGAGAAACAGACTCTTCAGTAAAGACTGTGGACTGGTGTTTCTGGGAGTCTCTCTAGTTCTAATAGTTTGACATAATGCACAAATAAAATCAAAGAATAATTTCCTCAATTCATGTGATATTTTTTTCTTTCTCAGAAGTGTGGCCAACTGCAGAGAGGAGAATTTAGAAGCACGTTAGCAAAGCATAAATTAAAGCTTAATGCCAGAACAAAATAAAACAATGTGTTAGACAAAGAGGAGTCCCATATTTTCACCCTCTCTTCTAATGGAGTATTTTACCTGCTGTCAGTTGTGTGAGCATTTTGATATTGTGAAACAAATGTGATTTTGAGAAGGTAAATATTAGAGCTGATCAATATTTTTACCCTGTAATTTTTTCAAGTGACAATAAATATTTGGAATGACTTTTAGAAGAGTGTTTTCTTTCTTTTTTGCCCATTTACGTATTTCTGGTTATTTTGCAAGTGAGCTGTGGGCACTACCAAATAGTATTTTCCTGAAGTTGCTGTTTGAGAGGTTCTCAATCTATTGCGGATACTCTTTGTTGGACCTACTCTTTTTTTGAGTTTTTAACAAGATCCCATTACTGATTTATTTTTTAAGAGCTCCATTGAGCTATAATTTACCTATAATAAAATTCACACATTGTAAATGTACAATTCAATAATTTTGTTAAGTTTCTACAGTTGTGCATCTACCATCACACTCCGGTTTTGGAAAACTTCCATCATCCTAAAAACTTTTCCTTATGCCTTTTCCCACCCCCAGTCCCAGACAACTATTGATTTGTTTTCTGTCTTTATAAAATTTTATTTGACATTTCATATACATGGAAAAATAAAATAAGTAGTTTTTTGCATCTGTCTTCTTTAACTTAGCACAATATTTTCAAGGTTCATCCAAGTTGCAGCATGAATCAATATTTTATTCTTTTTATGGCTGAGTAATATTCTATTACATGGATATGTCAGATTTTTTAAATCTATTCATCAACTGATGAACATTTATAACATCTCTATTTTTTTTGGCTATTATGAATAATGCTGCTATGGACATTTTGTATACAAGTTTTGTGATACAAAACTTCTCTTAGGTATATACCTAGGAATGGGATTGCTGGGTCTTATGATGTCTTTTTGTTTGTCATTTTGAGGAACAGTCAAATTGTTTTCCAGAGTAGCTGCAATCATTTTTACAATCCCATAGCAAAGTATGAGGGTACCAATTTCTACTTATCCTTGCCAATAACTTGGTATATTAAAAATTTAGCTGTCCAAATGATTGTAAAGTAGTATCTCATAGCTTAGTGGTGTCTTTTGAAGTGCAAGTAGTCTAATGTAGCAATATTATCTTTGAAAGATAATGCTCTTTCCCTAATTCAAGTTTACAAAGACTTCCACCTGTTTTCTTCTAGAAGTTTCATAGTTTTAACTCTTCCATTTAAATCCACGGCTCATTTGTGTGTGTGTGTGTGTGTGTGTGGTGAGGTAAGGGTCTAAGTTGTGATTTTTTTTGACTATGGATATACAATTAACACAGCATCATTTATTAAAAAGACAATCCTTTCTGCACTGAATTGTCTTGGTGTCTTTATCAAAAACAATTAACCATAAATATAAGGTTTTATTTCTGGGGTCTCAATTTTGTTCTATTGAACTATATGCCTACTGATATGACAATACCACATTGTCTTGATTACTGCAACTTTGTAACAATTTTCGAGCCAAGTAGTGTAATTACTTTGTTCTTTTCAAGACTGTTTTGGTTATACTAGGCTTTGTGCATTTTTATATAAAATTTCGAATCAGCTTGTCAATTTGTTTAGAAAGCCTGTTGGGATTTTGGTAGGAGTGGTATTAAATTTATAGACCAATTTGCTCATTATTGAGTTTTCCAATTCATGAACATCAACTGTCTCTCCATTTCTTTAGTAATTTATTTCTTTTAGCAATATTTTATAGATTTAAGTGTACACAGCTTTTTTTCATGGAATTTATCTAGACAATTTTTGATGCTATTGTGAATGGAATTATTTTCTTAATTTGTATATCAAATTATGTTGTACACCTTAAATATATACAATTTTTATTAAAAATAAAATAAAGAATAAAAAGAAGCATGAATATAAGATGTTTAAAGGACTTTAAAAGGAGGGGGGAGTGTTAATGGGCATTTTGTTGAGTAGTACTTTTTCTAATGCAGAAGAATTATATCAGCTGAAGAACTGAGAAATTTATATTTACAAAATCTGAACATTTGGGGCCAGATACCTTCCCTCCTAAGGTTTAAGATGAGAAGGCTAAACCAGCTCTGCTCCTTCTAACCACCACTGGATGGCCACTAAATAAACTGAAGTGTACTTAAAAAGGCAAGGGAGAATGAGAGGAGGTAATTTGTCCAAGTTATGAATAATATGCCTTTAGGAAGTACAGTGGCTCAAAATGAAAGTAGGGGTGCACTGATAAGGAAAGAGGTGACAGATGTATCACTAACCATGGTTGTGGTTCAGGGGCTTGATTGGTGTTTGCCCACCAGCTACAGTTATGAGGCTTTTTCACTCCACACATCCTTGACCAAATGTTCAGAATTTCTCGCTCTCTTTTTTTTTTTTGTTTTGTTTTGTTTTTTTGTTTTTTGTTTTTACAAGTGTCCTCAATGGAGCTGGGCATGTCTACAAGTAGACGATCTTGGGGGAAAAAGAGCCAAGTGATACACTGGAGCAACATCCTATTTGGCAAACAGCAGAGGAGCTGCTGGTTAAGCCCCCTCTGGTGCCAATCTGGGTAAGGTTGCTAACCATTAGCACCAAGTAACCACAGTACTAAAGGCCCTTGAAATGTTAACGTGATCCAGGGTTAGCCAACCATTATAGCTGATCTTTTAGCTACAGTAACTGTGTAAGGGGTGGGAAGGTGGCCTGGGACTTCATATAAAGATGGAGGGAAAAAAGCTGTCTTTGGGGTGACTAGCTGGAATAGGATAATCTGGGTATTAGCCTAAGTCAAATGCTAGTCTTCTCCTGATGTGGGAACCTTTCCTTTAGTAGGAGAGGATGAGATCAATACTGAAAACAAGTGATCTGAAAAATAGAGGTATCTATCATGTATTTACCTACTTTCCTATCATGTATCTATGGAGAGATAACTTGATTCACTCTGTTTTTTTCACATTTCTACTCCACCCCCTAAAAAAAGCTGAGTTTTGTTACTGGGTACCTGAAGAATCCTGAGAAATATATGACCTCCTTACATGAAAAATTGAAAAATAGCAGGCAAATTGGGACAATGTTTTGGGGGATGCCTGATGTCCTGGTTGTTTTGTAGAATTGATTAAAAATATTTTCATCTGCTACAGATTTTGGGAGTGCCAATGGCATAACTGACATACTACAGTATAGAATAAAGAAAGAAATACAGTAAGATTAAAGAAAGATTTAAGAGCTGGTTTAGCCTTCTCATCTTAAACCTTAGGAAGGAAGGTATCTGGCCCCAAATGCTCAGATTTTGTAAATATAAATTTCTCAGTTCTTCAGCTGATATAATTCTTCTACAGAAAGATTAAAGAAATAAAGAAAGAATACAGTAAAGAATAGAAATCTTGGTTGATATTCTTGCTTAGATAGAAAACTATCTATTATAAGGAAAATGAGAAGAGAAAAATCTCAGTTAAATCTTTTTTAAAAATCCACGTAAGAATTGCTTTTCAAGTGAAGCCTTTGCTTCTTGTTCTCAGAATGAATTGGATAATTCACATCAGCTCTAAAATAGGCAAGTTGGTATGATTTCATCGGAAATATCATTGCAATTGATCAAACTCTGGGTATAAGAATGTATTTACAGATAAACACAAACTCATCAGAATGAACTCTGAGCTCTATGCACAGGGAAAAAGACACCTAAGATGACTGGAGTTTCAAATATATTCTTTTGCGAAGGCAATTCAGGACAACATCATTTTGGTTTCCATGCTGATGGGTCACATTTGCAGAAGTATTGGGGTCAAATGTAAACTAATGTTTGTTATCTTCTTTGGAAACTGTTTCTGACAAAGGGCAGAATAGATGAAGGAATGGGTTGATGTTGTGGATGCATGCACTATGGGAGAGCAAATAGGAAGATTTTTTTTTTTCTAAAAGATTTATTTATGGGCAGCCCAGGTGGCTCAGCGGTTTAGCGCCGCCTTCAGCCCAGGGCCTGATCCTGGAGACCTGGGATCGAGTCCCACGTCAGGCTCCCTGCATGGAGCCTGTTTCTCCCTCTGCCTGTGTCTCTACCCCTCTCTCTTTCTCTGTGTGTCTCTCATGAATAAATAAATAAAATCTTAAAAAAGAAGATTTATTTATTTTAGAGAGAGAGTGCAAGGCAGGGAGGGGCAGAGGAAGAGGGTGAGAGAAACTTTAGCAGACTCCATGCTCTGGGTGGAGCCCAATGGGGGGCTCGATCTCAGGACCTGAGATCATGACCCAACCCAAGCCCAAACCAAGAGTCGAAAGCTTAACCGACTGTGCCATTCAGGCGCCTCAGGAAGAGGCTTCTGAATAAGGGCTCAAGAGTCGGGTTACCTGAATTTGATGCCTAGCTCCACCACTTACTAATTGTGTGACTTTAAGCAAGTCATGTAAGCTTCTCTACTGCAACTTCCCCATCTGTAAAATGGGGAGATTACTCAATAAAATAATGCCCTATCTGGTTGTTTCAGAAATTAAATGAGACTGTTTATACAAAGTACTTAAGAAAATGCCTGGCACTTAAATGCTCAATAAATGTAAGTTGCTGCTGCTTCTTCCCATTTCTCCTCCTTTTCCTCTTTCTCTTCCTCTCTCTCCTTCTCTTGCTTCCTTGATTGTTATTGTTCCTCACAGCTCCTCAACTCTATACATTGTTATTGATTATAGTAACTGAATATAGAAATTCTATCAGTTTTTTTGTCCCAGCGGGCAAGAAACGACACCATTTAACTAGGATTTTTGAAGATTCTCGTTTTTACTAGCTTTTTATTTAGAATAATTTTAGATTTTAAAAAGTTGCATAGATCATACAGTGAGTTTCCATATACCCCTCATCCAGTCTCCTCTAATGTTATCATCTCACATTACTATGGCACGTATGTCAAATCTAAGAAATCAGTGTTGGTCATCACTGTAGCAGCCAGCATTCTAAGATTCTACCCCATATACACATAATTTCTCCTAGTTACTCAATAAAACACTAACCAGGTGTTAATGTGAAGGGATTTTGCAGAAGTAATTAAGAATCCAAATTACAATAATAAGGATAAAAAGATAATAAAAAGAATCCATAGCAGTTGACTTCAGGAAAGGAAAATTATCAGGGTGGGCTTGGTCTAATCCCACGAACCCTCAAAATCTTGCTCTAGAGCCCAGAGACAGAGAAGTCAGAGGCAA